TCCATATTGTAACGTGATACCATGTTATAAAATATATTTACTTTATGCTTTCAGTTTTGCATTTGATATTTTATCTGTGGTTTTATCATCCTAACCAGTCTTTGCCTCTGGCTAGTTACACCTGCATCAAACAGCTGTTGTCAGCACTGAAATATTTTGATTCATTCAAAGTTTTCAAATAAAATGCAAACGGATATATTGAATGGAATAAAAATAAATTCTCTCCTTTAATGATTTTCCAACACAGGATGGGAAATGACTGTTTTTCAACACTTGTAGGGGCAATCGTTAGGAAGAAGTCAGGTGAATGGCTTTTGGATGATGTTATTACTCTGTTGCTTCATAGAGGAAAATTGTTAAGTCGTTAGATGTGTAAGTGCTGAATGAAATCTCAGTGCATTTGGCTTTTTAAAATTTATTTATTTGTATTTATTCATTTTGTGGTGTTACCATGGTTTTGAAGCAGAAAGTTAAATGACTTGATAGGGTCAATTAAAGTAAGTTTGACTGCAAATTACTTAAAGTGAATAAGGAGAAACTTTTGTGTGTGCATGTGTGGGAGTGTAAAACACATTTAAACATGCAGCCATTGGAACAAATCACTTTATCAGTGCCAACTGGCAGACTCACATCCTTCCTTCATGTGTAGTCTAAATGCAGAGGACCCTTTGGGAGGGGGGCGATGAACAGCAGCGCAGTGAAAAGCCTTGATGACATAATCAGCAGGTGGAGGAACGCTTGAATAGGAGTGTGAAATACAGAGAAAATAAAGTCACAATCAAGTTTTTCTGCAATTAAACCAAAGAGAGTTGTCAGTTTGGTTGTGCAGACAGCTATTTTCTTGCAGTCCGTAAACACACTTCTTCTCGGAAAAAAACGGGAAAACATAAATCACAATAAAAGGCACAGACTAGCAGCATTTTATTTCTGAAAAATACCTGACTTTATTCTTCTAATTCTCTCTAAAAATGCCTGTACCTTACACACATGGATTTATCCAATGGGAGAATGTTTTCCAAAACTTTCCACAAGTTGATGGTCAGTGTCATTCTTTGTCATTAGGACATGAACTACGGTATATATTGTTTTTATCTATTGTGTAATTAGTGATCAGCCATTTGACTGCTGATAGTTGTTCTGAAAAGGCAGAGATTATTAAAAAATAGCATTCCTTTAAGAAATGCATATTGATTTTGAACAAATTTCTTGTGAGATGTATGTGAGGCCTCATGCAAGGCCAGGGAATTATCAGGTATCTCTTGTAAATGAGTCCCAGAGGCTCAATGGGATTAACCTGTATAAATAAAGGTTGAATAAATCATCTCTAAGTATTACATGAGGGGGACTCCAACACATTAACACAGCAAATTTTAGCTCAATATAAATATAGGCCTGAATTTTTCTGACATCTGTTGGCATTTGAAGTTTGACTGACTGTGGTGGCCAGTTTGAATCAAGTTAAATTCAAAATCATCTGTAGATGTATATCCAATAATTATTTGCTGAGAGTTTCATCAAGGTCCATCATTAGTTTCTTTAGATATTTTGCTAACAGAAAGATAGGATTGGCTCAGAACACTAATATCAAAACTTTCACAAGAATCTAATGGGATCTCTTATTGCTTGGAGTATGTGATGGGGATGATTCTCAGTTACAACCACAAACATTTTTATCTCAACATCTATGAA